TCTCTCTCTCTCTCTCTCTCTCTCTCTCTCTCTCTCTCTCTCTCTCTCTCTCTCTCTCTCTCTCTCTCTCTCACACACACACACACACTCGGTAAAGACACCTACATGGTGTTTCCCCCCCTCCTATCTAGTGAATAATGTGAGAATCTGCTTTCTTCTCCCCGCAGCCTCTCTTCGCCTGGGAAATGGGCTACTCATGGGTTTGTCAAATTGTCAGACTTTCTCTTTGTTAGCAAAAATAATGAAATGTCAACCATTGATATTAACGACAACTGATCAAATTTCTTGCTCCCGCAGCCTCACTTCACCTAGGAATGTTCCACTCGTGGTTTTCTCAAACTTTCTGTTTGTTAGTAAACAGCTTTGGAGTGCCAACCATTGAAATTTTAGCGATAACATGCACAAGGTTTCTTGTCCTCCTCCTTTGGGCTGTGTGCCTTTTTCTTCTTCAGGTCATGGCCATCGGGGACGGCGAGAACGACATGGAAATGCTTCAGCTGGCCGGCTTTGGAGTTGCGATGGCAAACGGTGCAGCGAAGACACTGGCAGTGGCCGACGCACTCGTCGGCAGCAACGATGAAGATGGTGTGGTTGAGGCAATTGAGAGATTCATCCTCTGATGCAAAGGTGCGAATAGATTCTCGATTCAATGAATTGCGAGGAAGAGAACTACACACGATTCGTCAGCAGTCTCAATGGAGGAGGCGGAGCAGAGAACAGTACCCAATCACTGAGACGACTGCATGTCATTCTAGCAGCCAGGCTGCTATGGTAGTTTTGCATAAACAGACCATGGTAGACTCTGCAAATCGCAGTTGCGCAGCTCTCGAACTGACCATCTCTTCCGTTCACGACAAAGAAAAAAGACGATACCATGTGATCCCATCGTCTAAGCAGCAGAGCAGATCTCCCTTTCAGCACTGAACATAGCTGGCGTTAGGTTCGTGCTAAGAAGGCATGAACTTAGCATGAACTTTGACACTAATTGTCAGTCCCCATTGGCGCTAGGTTCATGCTACGAAGGCATGAATTTAGCATGAACCTGGCGATTACCACGGCCAGAATCATGATTTCCTAGAATGAACATAGCACCAGCAGGGCCTGCCACTAACCCTAACGAGGGTGAATACAAGCATATGGGTCAAGGATAGGATTGCAAAAAGGTCCATCTTCAGCAGCCTGGAGGATGTTGGTTTGTGTGCTGGTAGTCGCCGCTAAGCTGATGCATATTATCACTGTCATCATTGTTATCATCAAATAGAGAGGGGGAAGGAGGGGGGAGGAGAGGGGAGAGGAAGGGGGGGGGAGGAGGGGTGTGTTGATTGATTGGCTTTCGAGCAGTGTGTCGGCATCTCGCATTGTCGCAGACACGCTAATTGTACATTATGTTGGCCGCACCGTCGTTCATCCCATATAGACTAGGCTGTCAGATGGAGTGCAGGGAAGTTGGTCTCACTGTCGTAGTACGGTCGTACCTCCCATATAACTAGACAAAGGAGAGTTGGTGTCGAGGATGCATTCTCCATCCTCCAAGCCAGTGAATTCTAAGTAGGGGAAGATGACTGTAGGGGTATCCAGAGTCACTGTAGGCCGCCAAGGCCCGCCATCCTTTTTTTTTTTTTTTTTT